TTATTATTTTAGAGAATGTAGTAGATTTTGAAGTAGTGGCCTAGATGTTAAGTAACTTGATTAGAATTTAATTATTAACTAGCAGTTTGTTGAGTGACAGACTTGACTAATCTGTGCAGTCGGCATGGCTGATGAAATGCCTCAAGGCATCTGGGAAAGCTGAGAACAGGAAGTCACTGTGAAGATGGCGGCCAGAAGAAACATGACATGGACATTGATATAGACCAAAGTTGTGATGAAAGCAACAAAATATAAATTAGATAATGTCTAATAATGAAAAATCAGTTAGTGAATTTACATTTCTAGTTTGTCACATCATTAAAAGGCTGGCATGAAAAAACATATAAAGAATACTGCTTTAGATTGGGGGAAGGGGTTGCAGTGTCAGTACTGTTTGGCCCGCAATCAGAAAGTTCAGTATTCCAGATGCATCAGAGGCTGATAAAATTCCACAAGAACACAAATTCAGGAATGTAAAATTTGTGGTGTTACAAATATAACACCTAGACATTTTAAAAATAAAATCTTTATAGTTTAATTGGCACTAATGAGTAAAATTACACAAATTATTAATTATAACACAATGTAAAAATACAGATTTACAATAATGATACTGTAGATAGACATCTGCTTATACAAAATTAATAAATAGATCTTAAATAATATATAAAACTGAAGGAGTCCAGATACCTCCCCTAGATCCTTGGCTGATAATACCACATAATCTCTTTTGCTATAGGCATTTTTTTCTGCATATGTCATGAGGATGTAGTGAATTACATTCAAAATGTAACTAAACTATAATCTTATCAATGTAAACAAATAAACCTGGCATAAAAATGTAGCTAATAATCAACATTTTAATACAAGTTTTAAATTCTGAATTTTATAAAGCAATATCGAATAAAATTTCCCTTGTATGAGAATTGTGGCATTTGCTGTCTAAGTACCCCCTCTTCTCTAATTTTTATCCCCCCTTCTAATAAGTATATAAATTATTCATTGTAATGTTGTCATATCTCAGGCAAAGCATAATTTTTATAGCCTTCAATCTGATTTGATTACAGAGCCATAAAATAGAAAATCAGATTCCTCTTGCCATGCTCACCGTTCACACCTCTCTTTCTGAAATTGCCAGTACTTCTCTCTGATACATAATACTACATTATTTATAACCAATAGAAATCCAAGGTTTTAATCTATCTGTGAATATTATATTACAATATTTTCTTACAGAGAACATTTATTTGCTTCAAGTTCAAACTTTCTTCCTACAGAAAACACATCAACGAGCTAAGCAGAATTTTTAATGAATCTTTTCACATATTTAAAATTATTTAGCGCAATGGTACCATTCATTTAAAAAAAGTATGGTTATGTTTCATCAACAGTCGACAGCAAAAACAAAAAAAAGACAGAGGTAAGCACATTATTTCTTTTTTTCCCATGTTTTATCATTATAAAAGTAACTAAAATGTAAAAATAATAGAAGCCTTTGAGGTTAGTTAAGGTTAGATTAAGTAAAATAAAGAATAATAACAATAAAACTTTTTCATGAGATAAACTAGTGACCAATTTGTAGTAGCTAGTGTGTTATGTAATTTGATGAGTCACATGAAACGTAACCCTACTTTTTTAAATGAAAGGTACCATTGCACTAAAATTTTTATTTAATTAAATAATGCACCAAAGAACACAGAATAACATGCAAAAAGCAGACAATGTACCTTAACTATCATAATTTTTCTAGCTTTTTAACTATGTGACAAGATTCATTAAAAATTCTGCTTAGCTGGTAACATCATGAGCTACATGTTCATTAAGTGATTTACAACTTCTGTGGCAAGAATATTAGTTAGACACAGTTCAAAGAGCAATACAATAAGATTTAAGTACAAACAGATGTATACTGTTATGAGTTTAAATTAAGCTATTTAAGGTAAACAATTGTAGTTTCATGTAACAATATGAAATCATTCTGGGAAGAAAAGAAAAGGTAATTTAGATTTATTTCAATTTTGTTTTTTTTTGGTGGTTACAAGATTGGTCAAACTGATAAACCTCATATAGAGTTAGGGTAAAGAAAATAACTGATAAACATTAAAGTTTTACTGAATGAATGTCTGAAATTTATTTAGGAGGTTTTATACATTACACAAATGATATTTGAGATTTTTCAGATGAAGAAAAGTATTTTCAATCTTAACATGAAAATCATGGGATTACTTTGACTCCATATATTCATGGAGATATTTTTAGTGAAAATACTTCACTAAAAAGTCTAATATTTTTTTGTCTACAAATGACTCTTAATGATTTCTGAAAGACTGCAAAATTTCATGAAGATACACGAAACATATTAGAAGTTATAGCATTGAAACTATAAAGTTCAATTTAGGATCACAAATTCAGCTGAGCTCATAACGAGAGAGTTAAAGAATATTATTTCTGGAAAAACAACTGGTGGGGGTCCAAACCCCCTACACTCCCTGCCCTAAATCTGTGCCTGCTTATACAACACTAAATAATACAGTTACCAAATAAAGTTAGAAACATAAAACAATGCAAGAAAAAATAAATTTCACAAAAATTTACTTTAGTTAACTCTATAGTAGGTAGAGAGTTGTCTTTCCTCTAGTCAGCAGTTCAGAATGAGTGACAGTGATTAGATAGCCTTTATTTAACACTTAAGTTGCCAGATAGTTAGCAGTGGGTGCTGCCAGTAAAGGTCCTTCTCTTCAATTTGTTGTATTTTTATAACATTAATCAATTAATCATAATTTCAATTAACTGATTATTGTAATAATTGAAAACAGTATTAATCCAAAACAATAACTTTGATTAATCAATTATTTATGAGCATTGATTAATCAATTCATCACCAGTCACTTGGAAAGATTGAAAAGAAGTATCGATGATGGATGAGAAGTAAATAAGGGAGGCAAAACATGAGGGCAAACATTACTTGCTGGTAATTTTGAAAGGAATGACCACCAGAAGAAAATAAATGCTAGAGCCAAAATCAGATCCTGCTGGCACCCTTCTTCTGAAGGGAAGACTATTGGGGATGAAAATCCTGCCATGGGGTAATAAAAAACTACATCACTGAGACCCATTGCAAATGAATAATGCACTATTTATTTTTGATACTGACTAAAAGAATTGGGAAAATAAGAGAAGCTCACAGTTCATTAATACTCTGAAGAAGGCCTCAAACTGAGAGAAATCATAATGTGCAAGGTAGAAAACAGAAAATTAGTCACATAAAAGACCACATAGAACACACCTTCTACCCAAGAAACTGAGATTCAAAAACTGAAGAAGTAAGACAAGTACATGTAGATGACCATGTAAAAACGTTGTCAACAATTACCTGATTTCCAAAACATCAGCATTGACCCAAAAATCAAACGGAAATTACAAAGGTCCAAGAAATGAATCATATATCATGGCCTTACCAAGAATAAAATGGAACATATCTGAGGAAAAGCAACAAATAACTAAGACCAGCAGAAGGTTCTTCTGTATCAGGGCTAGCTAACAAATTCTACTCTCCAGATGGTTAAAGTCAATAACTAAGAATTTTTTAAAAATGATCAAGAGAAATGGTATATTCTGCCATTTAACCAATCACATGAGCACTAAAAACTTACCAGCAGACAATACAAAAGTCACAACCTGAATATGTCAATCAATAAAGACTGACAATGTGGTTTCCTTGCATGTATGCTAGAAGCAGACTATGTAAGAAAGACATCTAACAAAATTTTAAAGTTTCTGATATTGGTAGAAACAGTAAGTTAGCAGTAAATAACATTGAACTTAGAATTCATAGAGAGTGAAGTTGGAAGCACAACTGTGAAAAATAAATAAAATCTGAGGTATGGTGGAAAAAACAGAGCTTATGTAAGATCTCCTTATACATACACAATAAGTCAGATGGTAGGTGGGAGAGTGGAAAATTATGGGTAAGTTGGCACATGTTATTCACTGCATCATGGACAAACAGAACTTTGAATCACATGTTTGTAGACAGCATGAGAGCAACTCAACAAAAAAAGGATCTAAGTATTTCAGAGGTAAGTCTACCTCATTTGAATTTTTTTCTTTTTCTTCAGGAGTATTTATGCAAAGATTACTTTGAAGGACCCAGTGGTCTCTTGTTGTACATGTTATGTTATAAATATATGGAGAAAACAAGATGTCAGAAGAAACAATTATTCACATTCTAAAGTATCCCTACTTCAAAAAGAGGAAGATATTTTTATGATTACTATCTAACACACTGTTCAACAGTGACATGACTTTACTTTGTATTACTTAAAATATTTGAATACTTCAATTAATCTGTGCTAGGATTATGGTCAAAATGACTTCCTAAACAGAGAATATATATTTTCATAGCTTTTAATACTAGTAATAAACAAACCTATGACACCTAATTTATTTTTCTTTAACTGGACACTCAATGTTTCAATTTACAGCTTCTTCAGGCACATTCCACTAAAGCACATGTAATTCGGTGTTCTAACGTCATTTACTACTAGTATTAAAATGACTTTTATACATCAAGATGTACCATAGAAATTAAATTGTTTTAATAGCTTGTTAAAGTACTTATGAACCAAACATTCAAGTAATCTGTATTAGCAAAAATGTTGTTTAATTAGAAATAACAACAGCACAAAAATATAGAATTTGTTAAACCCTCAAACAAACAGCTTAGTAAAATATTTCAAAAAGAATAGGCACATTGTTTGCAATGAAACATTATCTTTACTTTATGTTTTACAGATGTTTCTAGAACATATCATTTAGTAAGAATTTTACATTCACCCAAATACAATACAAACAAGAGTTTACAATCATCATGAAAAGTAAATTAAAAAGAAAATTATGAAATAGACAAACACTCACTTTAAATAAAAATCCTTCATAAGGAAAAAGCTCCAATAAAAATTAATTTTCATTAATCATTAATTAGAAAGATGGACACTTACTTTCCAGATAAAATATCATTTCTGATCTGGAGACATAACTGGTACCTTATAAAAAGAAATAACAGTTTAATATGAAAGCTTTGTCCAAAATATTTCAATATATGTACATAAAACAATTAAATCTACTCTTAATTGTCTTAGTTATAATGATATATGTAGTTACTTTATACCCTGTACAGTAATTTGTTTGTATTTTATTGTAATTTTTAGACAGGAAACAGTCTCATTTTTAGAATTGTGTAAAAAAATAATTGTTGTTTTAAAAATTGTGAGTTTTTAATATTAGGCAGAGGATTCACAATATTTAAAAATTCTGTCAAGCTAACATCTTCTAATTGAAACATAGCACTATACTAAATTTATCTCTTCCTCTAATGCACCTACATACAACATTTCACTCTTTTATTAAGCCTAGTAGTAAATACAAGCTTGTTATTGCGAATGATTTTGTTATTATGCAATAGTTTTGTGGGTAATATAAAAAAATTTACGTCAATCTACACAATGACAACGGGTAACTTTAATACAAAGTGAAGGTGAAACACCCAAAAATTTCACTGATATATATTTTTGTAAAGATTTAGGAAGTTTACTTTTCAAATTTTATAAAGTCTAAATCCTACAATGGAGATTTCTATTTGATTACATATTGTTAAGTCTCAATGTTTCTTCCAATATCTATCACTGATAGATACAGATATGAACATTGTTGTGATGTTAAAATAATCTAAATATGCATTTCATTGCAAACTGCAGTTTTTTTTTTGTAAGAATTTAATTAATTGCTAAAGTGCTACTTTCTTAAATAATTATGTACATTTTTACAAGTATTAAAATCAAAATACATCAGGATATAACAAACTTATGTAATAATCTGTTTTTAAATATTAATATACTAAATACTTAATTTGTTTATATGATATCTATGGATGAGAAAGTTATTGAAAATACTTAAAGAAATAAAATTCAATCACAACTCAATAGCTTGGCAACAGTTGAGTGGTTTGAACTGTGCGAGTCAAAAGTCCTGATTTTCTCGATAGTTATGAAGTAGGTGTGGGATATCAAAAATCCGCTGACAAATCAAGGTCATTCAAATGCTATCTCTATAACTGTCAGTGTGAGATAAAATGTGTTGATACAAAAGTTGTATAGCATATGACATTACTTCAGAAATGTCGCTTCTTTATTCGAATTTGCTCTACTGAGTTCATCACAAAATAATAACAAAGATATTGTATGTGTGTTTGCAAAATCAATTTAACTTACAAAAAAAGCTCAATGTATAGACCTACTGCTGAAATACATATTTCTGAACAATGTTTTACAGAATATTGAATCTTTGCAAAAATTCCATGGGAATTACTGCACATGCTATACACATTTTTTCTTGTAGTTTGGCAGTTTGTTATGGGTGTGGTGTAACACCAATTCTTTGATGTAAACCCACAAGAAGAAATTCAATGATGTCAAGTCTGGAGATCATGCAAGCCAAGGCACAGGGCCAGCCCTTCCAATCCACTCTCCTTGAAAAACACCATTTAACCAGTTGTAAGTATGGGCTACAAAATGGAGAGGTTCACATTCTGAAACCATATATTCTGGTATAAGGCTAGAGGTAAATCATCAACAAATTCATTCACAATACCTTGCAAAATCAGCTACAAAAATGATCATCTATTAATGTCTTGTTATAGAAAACTGGTACAATTATGTGGTCACAGTAGATGTCACACCATACATTAGTATGTCATTGTATTTTATGGCAGTGTTGCTACAGCCAATTTTGATTGTCAAATGCCCCATAGTTCACATTATGGGTACTGACGACACAATCCTGCAAGAATTATGCCTCATTGGACCATATAATGTGCATGAGAAACACCAAACATTATGAGGAGCCAATTACAAAGATCCAACTGTAGATTTTAGTCTTGCTCTTCAAGGCCATGATAGCAGTGGATACGATAAGAATGAAACTAAGGCCAATTACAGAGTCAATAGCTTTTATGCTGGTGTGTGGGTTTAAAATAACTGAAGCAAGTACTGCTGCAGAATTTTCATTATGTGTAGCTTCTTGTGACCAACCCAACTATCATGGTTTGGTACAATCTGTTTCTCAAAGACAGCACACAATGGGTTAAATTGTGGCTACATTTGAATGTAAAACCCACAAGGAGGACAATGCATGTGGTATAATACTGTTGTGTACTACAGTTTTTATATTGACATATTTTATCTAAGACTGATAGTTTCATACAAAGCTTTTGACTTCTTTATATGATGACATCATGTCAGGTAACAAATGGCCCCAATAAACCTTAAAACACCTTATGTCAGCAAAGTTTTAATATTTCTTTCTTACTTTACAACAATAGGGAAAATCAGGTCTTTTGAATTACACTGTATATTTAATGAGCCTAAAGCACGAGCTGCAAACAAATTCTTTGAAACATTTACTTCGAGGCATCCTGCATTTAAAACTTTTTAAGACAAAAAAGAACAGCTTATAACAGGTAACAAATTTTATTTCTATTTTTAGGGAGATTTGCTAGTATCATGTACAATTTGATAAGTTACATTATACAGGATTTTACAACAGATGCAACACTAATGATACTGAAGTCATATACCATATTCTAACATGACTATGAATGATATATACCAATTCACCTAAATACATTAAAAAAACATTTCAAGTACCAACCTTGTAATGTCCTCCTGTAGCAGGGCTGGGTCAGGAGGATAAAACTTTACCTCAAAAGAGAAAACCCAAGGTCCATCTGAGTAAAGAGATAAATATAGATGTTTTTATAAAGTGCTGAAAAGTTGTTAGGAATGCAAACAAATTCTTATACCCATGACACAATAAAATCATTTTTTCAGCAGCCCAGAACAACCATAAAACACCAATGGGCAAGCAAAGCATAATGATGAAAAGCCTAGTGAGATACCCACTTTCAGTCAAATCAATTGATCAAATTTTCTAATAATAAGCTTATGTGTACTGCAAATTACACACCTTAATATACAAACCAAACAAAATTTTTACAAAACTTAACCCACAGCAGTTGAGAAGTAATGTGCAGTAGTGGGAAATTCACATCACTTGATGGCTGGGACAACTAGTTTTACCATTATACTTTGTCCTTAAGCAAGTAGTTTTCTTTTTAATGTCATTCATTCTATTGATAGAAAAATACTTCAAGTACATTTCAAGGGAGGCATGCAAGTTCCTGAAAATTCTATCCAGCAGAAGTCTACCACATACAAACAAACATTTACATAAAGGTATCTAAACATCAAAGCAGACATATATACACACAAATATACATATCCCATTAATTCAGAAAACATATATAGCAACAAACATAGTTGAATATATATTACTGCATTAATTTAAGTACATGGTCTATATATATATATATATATATATATATATATATATATACTATATAACTACAC